CTGCTAAACAGGCAGGTATGCTGCCTACATCTTCAATCCTGATTCTGTTATATATTTTCTTCGTTGAGAATATTCACATGGGCATTTACATAATATTCTATGCAAGAATAGCATGGACTAAACAACTATTGCGTTCAAAAGAAGACGTCATCAGCCAGTTCATTGTTGCTAGAGTTTCAGAGTTTGTCTGTGTTTAACAGCTAGCGGCTGAGTTCCTAAATATCATCTGACGAAGTTTGTAAGTATGCTTAATTATATAGTTTTGGTCCTATCGCTAGAGCACCTTTTAAAATTATTTCTGACCTTTCATATGGTACATGAAAAATCATACTTGGTGAAGCACTGGTTTGGGAAGGCAGGTGGTGCTCTTTTGTCTGTCCGTTCGAGAGAAGTGCTACGAAGGTGAGAGGCTTTTCTTCTCTCGTGCCGTTGATTTTTTTTTTTTTTTCTATTAGGTTCATGTTTTATTGCTTATTTAGGTAGATCTTATTTATGACTTTTAGTTATAGTTTTTATAAATTTCATAACTCTTAAAAAATAAAAATAAAAAATAAAAAATAAAAACTAACGTTTCTCTTTTGAACACTCTACCTGTGATTGTGTTATATGGAACACAAATATTTAACACGATTTGCGATTAGTAATTGATATTCAAGTTAATGTTTTTAAAATAGTAAATACCAAATTTATTTCTCAGTTTTTATTATAACTATTAAATATTGTCCGAACCTTTTATTTTGACAAAAATTGTCGGCAAAAGGTGCAGATCACCCCCTAAACTCAATAACTGGTGGCAAATCACCCCCTCAACCCACTTCATGCGCAAATCAACCCCTCAACTCACCTGCAGTAGCAAATCAGCCCCTCTCTTAACCCTTCCGTTAACATTTAACAGTCTGCTCATCAGCCCTTCCTCTGTGTCTGACGTGGCCTTCTTTTTGCTGAGATGGATGCTGAGGTGGAGGCACAGCTGGACAAATACCTCAAAATCAGTAGATTACAAATCTGGTGATACAGGTAAACCTAGAGGAGGAGATGGTGGTGTTGGAAAAGATTTTGACGGCTGAACAAGTTGGAAGACGAGTTAACTCAGCAGTTGCAGAGTCTAACTTGTTCGAGATGGAGTGCGTCCACGTTGGGAATTTAGTGGGTTGCTTGAGGCTGATGCTTCATGATCTGGTCGGCTGCATCTCCACTGCTTCTCTGCCCTTATACGATCGGCCAATCGTCCGCATAGTCACTGAAGTCTCCAAAAACCTTGAGCGCGCACTGACCTTGGTCCGAAAGTGCAAGCGATGCACCCTCTTTCGCCGGTTTGTCACCGGCAAGCACGCAACCGATTTTCCCAGAATCTTTGCACTTCTGGAATCTTCAATTGCCGATATGAATTGGTTGCTAAACCTCTTCAACCCAAACCTCGGCTACGCCTCTAAGGAACCTGACCTATCCGTGCCTCCAATCGCAATCAAAGATCCGGTTATTTCATGGGTCTGGGTGTTCATCGCCACCGTTGAAATGAGTCTACTGAAAAATCGCATTGAGGCCGCCGACAATCTTGCTAAAAAAAGGTTCAATTTTTAAAAGATGAAGAGGGGAAGAAGATGATAGAAGCTGCCAAACAAAATAAAAGCCTAGATATCCTCAAAATATGGTAATTTGACAGACGATTCAAAGCTTGACGAAGAACCCCATGCTCGATGAATTGCAGATCTTGCTAAACAAAGACGAAGAAGGGAAGAAGACAAAGATGATAGAAGCTGATCCCTAAATCCCAAAATCCCCAATTTTATTCCCTAAACAACTTAAGGGTACAAAAGTAATTTGTGTAATCTATTGATTTTGAGGTATTTGTCCAGCTGTGCCTCCACCTTAGCATCCATCTCAGCAAAAAAAAGGCCACATCAGATACAGAGGAAGGGCTGATGAGCAAACTATTAAATGTTAACGGAAGGGTTAAGAGAGGGGCTGATTTGCCACTGCAGGTGAGTCGAGGGGTTGATTTGCGTGTGAAATGGGTTGAGGGGGTGATTTGCCACCAGTTGTTGAGTTTAGGGGGTGATCTGCACCTTTTGCCAAAAATGGTCCCCAACCTTTTCAAAATTATCAAACTCAATCCTAGGGTTAGTAATTTTTGTTAATTTTCAAAAGAAAATCTTAGCTAGAATTTTG